GGGTATTATTATTATTATTATTAATTCTCTCTCTTGTACAGGTGGACAAACCGGAACAGGTTGCATGCAGTGTGTGTGTCGGGGTGAAGGGGTGTGAGGTGGGTGGGCTAGGGGGGGTGGGGGGGGGGGTGGGTGAAGAGTTTGTGTGGTGTGATTGGGTCGTGCTAGGTAAAATTCATACCTTCCTCTATGGTTATTTAGATTATTAACTGTTACATGAAAGAACAAATGTATTAACACGTACGATCTGAGATTTTGCTATGTTCATTGTAATTCATGAAATGTTTTTGTATCGTACGTAGATCTTTTTATTACATACTGTGATAATTCTTTTATAATGTGAATTTTATGAGGAAGGAAATTTCTGGAACAGGTTGCATGCAGTGTGTGTGTGTGTTTGTATGTGTGTTTATGTGTGTGGAAGAGGGTGTGGTGTGGGTGGGCTAGGGGGGGGGGGGGGTTGTCATGAGTTTGTTGGTGCGAGAGTGTGTGACAGGATGGTAATATGTAACTTTAAACCTTCCTCTACTGTTATTTTGATTATACACTGTTACATGCAAGATTTTTTTTCTTTTTTTCTTTCTCTATGTTCATTGCTTAAAGTAACTCATAAAGTATCTTATACCAAAGATCTTGTTTTATATTGATTATTTTGATAATTTCTTGTTATGTGAATTTCTTTGACAAAAGACTTAACTCCTTTCGTTGACAATCAGCCATGCATGAAGACTCTTGTCTACGGCTGATTGTCAACGAAACGGAGTTAAGTCTTTTGTTAATTTCGTTTTTTGATACGGCAGGCAGCCAGTGAAAACGAATTCGTTTAATAAAATTATGGAAATGCAAGCACTACTTTAAAAAAACAGAACTTTGTCATTCCTCACTCATTTTTCCTGATTGAGGTATCACATGAAAAAGCAGAAAATGAACTTTCTAGAAATATGAATTTTTTTTCTTTGAAATTCAGATACCGCCCGCCAAATGTCTTTTTGGTTTCCTTCCTTCAAATTGCTTTGAATTACTCATGCGTGAAATATGCATCACGTGAGTAGCATCAACTGAAAAGATATACTGATATCAATGGGCTAGGGAGCACAGAAGACTACAGCTAGGACACTGGCGAGATGTTATCTCCATAGATTAGAGCCGCTACATCCTTGCGCGTACAGGTGGAAGGCAACGGATGTGCCAACTACCTGAAAAGAACCTAAGAGATGACTGCGTTCAGGAACCGACTCAAGGTGGTGACGGCTCCGTGATGGTATGTGCCGGATTCCATTAAGGCGGAAAAACGCCACTGGTAGTTCCGGATGGAAACTGAGACATCCTGGAGAACCACTGCCTTTCACATGCAAGAAGGGTCTATGGAAACAATTTCTGGCTACAGGATGACAGCGCTAGGCCACGCAGAGCAGCTGCAGTGAGAGAATTCCTTGACGCAGAGGGGGTGCAGCAGTTGCCATGGCCAGTGCCATTGATTAGGAGAGTTTGGCCAACCCGGTTCGAGTTTGACACAATATGGCAACTGCTGCTTAATTTGTCGGGCAAGCACAAATAAAAGAATATACGCAATGTTGTGACCCAGTGAAACCAAGTTGGCCAAACTCTGTGTATAGATGGCTCTGGCTATGGCCTGCATGCCTACTCCCCTGATATGAACATGCCTGGGACGCCCTAGGCCGAGCCATCAATGACAGGGACAATATTCCTCAAACTATACAGGAGTTAGCTCAGGCTCTCACCGACGAGAAGGACGCTCTGGCCATTGACAGCATGCCGCACTGATCTTTGTCAGGGGTGGTCATACCCGATATAAGTGACTGATTTACATTTGAAAGAGAAAAAACAAACATATTTCATGCATAGAATTAATTTCAATATTTGTTATTTGTTATGCCGACCAATTTTGAACATTGTAACATAATCCTTAGTTTTTTGTTTCCATATCCCTTTTTTTGTTTCTGCCTTAATTGGTACCCTTAGCAAAGGGTAGTTGTAGTTTAATTTCACTGAAATATGACCTGAAGGAATCTATCAATAACACATTATGGTCGTGTACACCATAGTTATGATAAAAAAACGCGTAATGTCTTATTTATTGTACATTAAGTTGTAAACAAAATATATTCCAACTTTATGAGCAACAGTGCAGTAACAAAGCATTCAATCCAGGGCGCCGATCAATCCTAACTCCTTTAATCTATCGCAAATAAGTTTGCAGTTGCTTCTCTCTTATCTACGTAATTGCGATATAATCAATTGCAAATAAGTTGCGAATAATACCAACTGTTTATAAGCGAGACGAGGCCCTGGTAACCAACTTTTATTGTGATGTTTTTCTGCAATGTACATGTACGTAATTATTCACCCCATGGCCATGCATCCGACCTTGGCAAGGCTATACAAAAACGACCCCCGGGATAGTGTATGCTTGTGTGACTTCTTATTATTGACAAAGTACATTGTAGGCCTGGAGTCTAGACAGTCTAGACATTGTAGAGGCATAAGCTGGATTTGTGTATTGGATTGCCGACATGGTCCAGCTAGTTAGTAGCCTCTTGTCGATGCCCTCGCGCTGTTGGAGTCTCTAAATTCTGACGAGCGAAGCGAGTCAGAGAAACCGAGGCGCTTGCGCGGAGGGCCTCTTGACAAGTGATCTGAATTATATATTCATGAGACCCGATTTCCTACTGAATTATGCATGTCTAGACCGCAGCGATTGTGTGTGTGTACGTGTGTGTTCGGGATTGCCCAACTAGGCTAGTCTGCAAGCACAGACCCTAATTTGACACTTTATCAAAAAATCATTGTGCATTGAGAGAAGCCTAGCCCAGCTATCTACTGGTACCTACTGGTTGTACCAATATAGGTCAGGAGCAGCTATAGTACGTGGCATATGGTAGTCTTATAGTACACACTCTCTTTTACGACTGACCAGGGTCTGTGCTTGCAGACTAATACTAGGCGGCCAGTCTCGCTCTCACGGAGGGAATTCGCACAGAGCGGTAGATATTACGTCATGGTAGCTCTCTCTGATTGGATGACTTTCACCGAACTCTGTTGGGTCGGAATATTCGCCAAACAAAGTAAAACATAAGAAATTCAGATCACTTGTCAAGAGGCCCTCCGCGCAAGCGCCTCGGTTTCTCTGACTCGCTTCGCTCGTCAGAATTTAGAGACTCCAACAGCGCGAGGGCATCGACAAGAGGCTAGCTAGTTAGACATCTCGTAGTTAATCATTACAAATCTAGTTCCATGGTAATTACATAACAACGTGAGAATAAACTTTTCGCATAGTCGTAGTGCGTTTTGACGCGACAGCCACACACCATTGTAGTCATGTAGCTTAATGAAAGTACCGTCACATGCCTGATAAAGGCGCCATTTTTAGTGCATGGCTTCCTTAGGACCTACTGAACAATATTGTAGGAGCCCAAAAATAAATAAATCATATAAATATTCGGGGGTGGGGGGCGACGTATATACGGTAATATCACATTGATTTGTTGTTGTAAAAATGCAAAACTAGGTACAGGGCTTCATTACGATCTATTGAACGACGTAAGGGTTGAAGCCCCCCCCCCCCCCCCAACAAAATATTCATATAAGTGTGAATTGGGCGGTGGCGTCGTACTGGAGCCCCCAAATTAAAAATATGGTAAAATAAATTTAAGGTTTTGTTGTACATACGCAATTTTCGGTACAGGTCTTCCTTAGGCACTGCTGAACGATGTTAGGGTAGGAGCCCCCTGCATACTATTCATATATTTGTGATTGGGGGCGGCGGGGCTTTGTGCCGGAGCCCCATGTTACATATAATGTAAGATCACATTGGTTTGTGGTTATACGGCCGCCTGTTTTGGTACAGGGCTCTCTTATGACCTACAGAACGATATCACAGTAGGAGCCCCAGGCGGGGGCGTTGTGTCGGAGCCCCAACATTATATACAAATCATTATTCTTGTGATATTTTTTGAGAAAATGAGGTACATTCATGCTAAAGGGAAGCTAAGCAAACATCGGTGCTAATAATTGGGGAAGAGGTCCCTATGGCATAGTTATTTTGTAATAAAAATGTACTCATTTGTCCCTCTCTTTTGTTTTAATCTGCTTGGCATAATAATCAGTTGAAGCGTATCATTGGAAATACAGTAAACTTACAACATTCATGGTATATAGGAACGAAATATGCGTAAGGGGGGGGGGGGGGGCACCAATACATTTGGCTGCAAGACATGGCCACCTTGTAGAAAGGACTTTAAAGGGATCGTTTAACAATGTTAAATCTGAGATGCAAGGCCCTACGTGTTATCAGTGTCTTTGATATGATGTTATATTGAAGCCCTAAAAAAACTGCGCTTCAAAATGATCAAGAAGTGCCTTACAAATTTAAAAGCCTTTGATTTTACCATACTCGTTACCCAATAGACTGTAGTGTTATGAAAACCGTTTGGCAAACGCAAATTTGATATCGATTTTCAATCATAAATATCTTGATAATCAGACAGGCAATCGGCTTGTAAAGTGATGGGGTTCCTGACTGACCTAAAGGTTTATAATTATCACTGCAGCATGAGCTAAATCAAGGATTTTTTTTTTACCAGATCCCTTCAATACGTACTCGTACCCTGTAGTGCTTCTGCGTTATAGAGTACGACTGTGTTATGCTTCTGGAAATATTATGTGACGCGCCGCTGCATTCTAAACAATTAAGAGCGATCCAAAACCCTGAAATTCATGTTTGAAAAGAATTGGAATGCACATACTCCGGAATACATTTTCAGAGTTAAGGCAGATACATGTGCAATCTATTGTGCAAAGTCCATGTACTATGTTTGTGCTGTTCATTTTCATTTCCGCTAGGGTAACATACTATTATTCTTCGGAGCCGACACAAACATAGCATTTATGCTGTGGTCCTCCCGCGTATTTCGCTCTTTTTAACTTCAGCATTACATTATATATATATATATATATAATCCTGCCCAAATTAATTCCTTGACTGAATAGACATCGATACGGGATTAAAATCAGATACAAGTCAGTAAATCATCGTGTATATAAAGTAAAACATCTCCGTTCTCAATTTTAAACACTTTGTGCTATACGATGGGTACTAGTTGGACGTCACAAAAACCTGTTCCGGACGTCGATCTTACTCAGAAGACCGTAATTGTAACTGGAGCAAACACAGGTATGTGATTAGAATTTAACTCTTTATAGTTATATATAATGGGAAAAAATCAAACTGGAATGTTATAAATACAGGAGTTCCACAAGCAACAAAACTTGGACCTTTGTTATTTTTGATACTAATGAATGATGCATGCCAAGATTCTATTATTAATGGTAGAAAGCAGGAGTTTATGTAAAGCTTCAAAATAACAAGATGAACTTCGCAAACTACAGGAATGGTCTAATAGGAATGATATGAAACTAAATGCCTCTAAATGTTCAGTTATGCAGATCTCCTTTTGTAAGCAACCTGTACAACAGACGGCCTTGTTTATTGATGATACCCAACCAGGGCTCAAAATAATTTTTTGTCCACGGGGGCTCTTCCCCTCAAAAAATGCAATAAATTTTCAATAATTTTCAAATGTACAGAATCTTCTTTGTAAAAACGACTTTTACAAATCTCGGGGGCTCTTTTTTATACAAATATCCATTGAATTGGTACCTATGATACTCCTCAATTATTTGCTATTTCATCATTATCATTTCAATCAGCATTTTCCCTCTTACAAATTTACAAGCTACATAGCTGTTACTGGCCTGTGTATATAATATATACGAATTCAACACTGATCTTTATGATGTCTTTAACGTGACATATCTTCTTCTCCTCTTGCAAACGAGAAAGAAAACAAGGTCATTAAAAGGGGTTAAGCGACAAATAATGATTGTGATTCAAATTGACGCGAATATTTGTTTGAATAAGCACTGCTATTCACCCGAATCTTCTTTGTAAAAACAACTTTTACAAATCTCAGCCATGCTTACTGAGTTGAGACGTTCCATTCAATGTAAAATACTCATCAAAGAATACACTTCTCCTAATCTGAAAGAGATCTTACAACACAGTGGCAGATTTGCATGGCTGAGATTTGTAAAAGTCGTTTTTACAAAGAAGATTCTGTACATTTGAAAATTATTGAAAATTTATTGCATTTTTTTTTTTTTTTTGTGTGTGTGGGGGCGTCGACGTACCCTAGCGCCCGCTGCGTACAGTCATGATTCTTTGGCTAAGCAATGGCCTCATTACTGTGAGCCCCCAGGATAAAAACCGTGTCGATTGGCAATATTAGTGCCCTTTTATGAGGCATTAATCCCTATTACTGTCAGTTATGACTTAAGGACGTAGGTCCCCTTGTTGATTAGCATAGTAGCACACACATGCTTTAGCAGTCACACAAAACAAACACTCCCCAATCGTCATTCAATAAAATCTGAGAATGTACACTATTATCTAGATCTATTAGGAATAAATCATTGTCAAAATCATTCAATAAATTGGGGGTAAAAATAATTATTCCACCATTATGACCAACAGTGTATATGTAAACAAGCACAATTCAGCATTTTTGCTGCGAGGCATTGTTTTTTAATAAAACCATTATTGATTTGATTTTTGATATGTGCTTCCAATCGTTATTTTTTTCTTTCTGAAATAGAACACCCAACACCAAACATCATTTTGTCACGTATCGGAGATGATCATTGCAAAACTTTATCATTCAACCCTTTTCCCCTCTATTCTCATTTAATGTTGATATCAGGAATCGGATATGAGACGGCAAAAACAATAGCCCAGCTGGGGGCAAAGGTCATTGTGGCTTGTCGTTCCGAAGCCAAGGCAAATGAAGTAAGTGAGTTTAATCTCCTTATGTAAGTTCCTGTAAATAATAGGCGGTGTCACACAGAGGCCAAAAATCCGGATTTTTATTTATCCGGATTTATCCTCTTAAAGGTAAAGACCAGTATTGGAAATGCCCCAATTTCAAAAAGTGAAATGGAAGCTCTCATTACCAATCATGTGAAAGAATATGTTTTGACTAATACATGATGATAACAAATTTGCCGGGAAACCGTCTACTAATTCATATATTTGGTAAATTTGTTTCTCTCATGGTCTGTGAGAGATATAGGGTAGTCCCATATACATCTTTCTGTGTATAGTGCTTGTAACTTTACGAAGAATGGGCCAAATTTCTTATCATTTTGATGATTCCAGAACCTTGCAGATGCTAGATGCTAGATGATCAACCTTTTCTGATCGATTCCACAACGTTTCTTTCACAATGCAATCGCATGACCATAACTGGTCTTTACCTTTAATTGTTTGTCTGTCACCAATTATCCCTTCAAAAATCCCTTCAAAAATCCTCATATGAGACAAGATAATTCTCTCTTGAAAGGATTTTTCAAGGGTTTTTTTAAGGGATTTTTCTGTCTGACACCAATGTTGAAATAATCCCTTTAAAGGTCAGTGTAAGTTAAACGTGATTGGCTGGCATAGGGTTTTTAACGCGCTATCATAACCTGCGCACAATATTAGCGCGCATTTAATGATTGAACGTGTGATGTCACAATGCTTATCTACCTAAACGACACATGCGCAATGGCCCATCAAAAAATCCGGATTTTAGTTATCCGGATCATTCGTAGCCTGTCTGTCACCAGTCTGTCACCGACGTAAATGAAAAAACTAGATTACTAAAATCTGGTTTATTCAAGATGGGTCGGGATTTTTCTGTGTGACACCGCCTAATGATATCTGTTTCAAAGGAACATGTGCGAGGGTGGGGTGTACGTGAGGGTGCGCGCTTGCGTGTGTGAGAGTAAGTGGGGCTTTAACTAGTGATATCTCCTTTCTTTACTTATAGGGTTTTACCTTTAACTGACCAAGGCAATTATAGCATTATAAGTACCCTGGTTACGGAATTATTATTCTGCCATACTCCACTCCCTGGGGAGCACGCTATTCCAGTCAGGAAACATCTAACAGACGCTCTCCATTCTACACAAATTACAATGACTTTAGCATCCTACCGGCTACCCGTTTAACATCTTGGTTAATAATGGCAAACGTATATTAAAGATCGTCACCACTACTGGGCCAGGAGGGATTAGACCACACAAAGAGCCATCGAGGTCACTGTGACAGGTGGCTATCTCATTAACTCAGCTCTCATTTAACATAAGAAAAAGAGGATCATGGGGGACCAACAGGCACCGATTAGGGAAGTTTTCTATATAGAGGGAGCAAGTAGCTACAAGTATGGCAGTGTGCCTTTAATGTCTTTCAAAAGGACGATAGTGCTGGGACGGATTCCAACCCTCGACCCTTGGATTGAGAATCAATTAAATGAACCACTTTACCACGACATACCTCTATAAATGTATTTCCGTTTTAACCAATCAAAGAAAATAAGTTTCTCATGGAAAATAGTTTTTTTTCTCCACTGTTTGTAAAGAAAGAACTAATTTCAGATGTCCTTCTTCTCCTAGGCAATGGAGAGAATGAAAATGGAACACAGCGAGGAGAAAGCTGATGACAAGAAGTCAAAGGTCGAAATCAAGGTAACTAAAACCACCGACATAATAATAATAGTGTAGATATAATGACTGCTATGAGTTGTTTATAGGCTGAAGGGGATGTTGCGTCCTGATATCACCCGAGGCGTGCCGAGGGGTGATATCAGGATGCAACATCCTCGAGAGCCTATAAAACAACTATTCCCCGAATATTAAAGCAGTCATTAAATCTCTTTTATATACCGAAAAAGGGGTCATAGAAGACATGTGCGACTTACTGGTCAAACATGGTAATCAAGTTTGTTTACGCTATCGAGGTCTGTGTTGATAATTTTGCAGGTAGCTTACTATGGCGCACTCGATTTTTGTGTGCTAAAATCCTTCCCATTGAGATTGCACGCATATATCCCTATGCAGTCTACGTGCATTGCGCGATCATGCAACATTGGTCAATGTAATAATTTCCAAATCGAGATTCAATCCTTTATTGCTTGTGATCCTGAAGGTGATACTAAAAAATGAGATTTCATATGAAAAAAAACAGGTTTACATGTAGATCTAGGCCTTACTTCAATCGAGATCGGTGGTCGTCCGCGCTGTGTTTATAGCAACCAAATTACTCGCACAAAAAATGTATGGTAACCGCGCTCCGCACAAACTAAATTAATTAACACGTAAACCAAAGGGGATCGCAGGATGAGGTCACTTTTCGAAAGACTATTGACTGATGGGCAAATACGAAGGCACTTTTTAAAAGACTATTGACTGGTAGGCGGGGCATGGTTAAAATCACGACTCTAATTTCGACCAATCAGATTTTTAAAGTGAGGTATAATTCATAATACACACGAGTATAGTCTATATGGTTTGTCGATGAGGGGGGGGGAGGGTTGGGTAGTGGTTCAGGAGGCACACGCCCCCTTGAATCAGTACTTCGCCATATGATAATGTGAACAATTTGTACCTCCCTTTTTGTCAATTTCATTTGATTATCGTCTCTTTGTCAGATACTTATTTTCTTTTACATAAGAGTGTTGGGAAGTGATGTAAATGTACTTCTAGTTTAAATTAAAGTAGATATTCATTGATTTTAAAAACTAACTTAATTTCATTATTGCAAAGTTGAAACTTTGATTCGACAAGGTTATCAAAATTCAATGCTTGGAAGCATTCGAAATAATGATTATTATAAATTACAAAACGCTTAAATACAGCCCCGGTATAGCACCTAAAGAGCTCTCCGAACGCTGCTGAGATGTGTGAGATCACAGTATGGACACGATTTGCACAAGCAGACGATGTCCCATGACATCTCACACATTTTCAGTGCCTGATGTTTCATCTTCTCTTGAGTTCTTTCTCTTACTTCACTACCGTCAGGCTAAATGTATAATCTATTGCCTCACTCTAAACCCCGCGCATGGTTTTATTTTGATGAAAAATGCAGCGATACAAAGATAAAGGGATCTGTCGCTTGTAAACAAAATAAGACGCCATTGAATATTCAGCTGCACACACCGCGGTATGTTCGGCGTTTCAAGAGGAAACAAACGCCGTCTTTAATATCATTTCGGGGGTTTTCAATTTGAAAGTCTGGTTTCTTTGATTGTTAATTAACCCCTATACTGTGTATTCACAAGCAAAAGATTTTAGTTATCGGAATCGGGTCATATCTCCTTTTGAATGGTTCGACATGCCATTACATTTATATACACACAACTCATTATAATTTGACAAATAATAGCTTCGCAATCATGTTCATTCTTTATGGGATGTCGTCTGCTTGGGCAGTAGTGGTCCATATAGTGACGTCATTAAAACATCCTTATTTTTCCGGCGAATCTCTCGTATATCCCAGCTGCTATGGAGGTGGTTGTATTTGTATTTTTATAAATCACCCGATATGTAGTTGAACTAAAACTTGTATGATGGCCATCTGTTAGCTTACCAGTTTCTAGTGATACATTAGTTGACATATTTATGATTTTCTTTGAATTTCACCTTTAAGACACATTAATGGAGAAAAAACTTCTCTGCATGCCTATTTTAAAACTTACAGATATCGTCTCAGAACCTGCTGTTGTTATAAACCCATCCCCTGGTTTTGATAATATAGACATTTGTGTAAGCACTCAACCTTTCCTTTGCAATAAGCGCCAATTAGCACAGTCGCTTATTTGCCAAGTGTCGGTTTGCACAAAACAATAGGTATCGATTGACATAAGGTTTACTTTGAGCAACATCAAAGCTTTGCTAAAGTATCCACTTCTGGTCTTCATTTAGCTACAGGACAATCCTTCTACAACCTTCATAGATTAATTTTACACTTAAAACATTTATATAATCTTGAATCCCCTCGTAACTATTCCGTGAGAAATGCAAATTGGAACGTGCAAATAGTTTCCATAGCCATAACGGATCACAGTCACTTTCGAATCTTTATGACGTCACAGTTATGACGTCACAGTTAGTCTTTCCTTTCCCTCAACAGGCCAATGACCTTGATGTCGAGTTCATGACCCTTGACCTTTCGTCAATCGCCAGCACGATGAGCTTCGTAGAGGAGTTCAAAGCCAAAAGGCTCCCGCTTCACATCCTAGTGTGCAACGCCGGCATGGCATACGGAGGGGAAGGTAAAATATGATCGCATAGACTTTCGCGAAATTATTTCAATTTGAATACCCTTTTGTACCGTTCATGTTACGTTTATACTCGTCATTGCAATATGATGTCCATACATCAGATTATCGTAAATGAATGAACCTGCAATTAATGTTATAATATGTTATTATTTTGATTACAACTGGTTTACAAATGAAGTTGCAAATATAGTTTGTTAATGCTTCTGCTTATCTTAATTAAACTGTTTGTTTTCCACACGGCGTGTAAATAAAAATGTAATATAAATATATATATATATATATATATATATATAATAATTAAAACAATTGAAATGAAAATCCTCGAGAGTTCTCTTCTTTACTATGACCGGTTTCAATTTGTATTTATTCAGATTTTTTTGTTTTAATAATTAGTCTTCAATTTTGATAAGGTGGTCTCCCCTGCTCTTGTATTTCACACAGTCAAAACAGCTGACGGTTTTGAGCTCCACTTCCAGGTCAATTACCTGTCGCACTTCCTTCTAACTCTCCATTTACTTCCGGTGTTAAAAGCTTCCAGGGGCAATGCCAAGATCATATTGGTTTCGTCTATGGCTTATCGCGGTGCTGGTTGGCACGAAGACAATATGCAATCGATCAACAAAGGCCAACTGTCCAAATATGGAAGCACCAAGCTCTATCAGGTTTGTTTGGGGAAAAAAAAATTGAAGCAGCAAAAATAGTGTCAAATAATGATGATGATGATGAGGAGGAGGAGGAGGAGGAGGAGGCGCGGTAGCTCAGTCGGTAGAGCAGTGGTCTCGTTATCCGGTGACCTGGGTTCGAAACCAAATCGATGCGCTAGTGCCCTTTGGTAAGGCGTTAATGCTCATTACCAGGTCCCTCGGAGAGGACTTAAGCCGTTGGTCTTCTGGTTGCTTACCAACAAGCATTTATTGCTTTCTTAGCTGCCAGGTAAAATAACCACCAATAGCACGTATGATGATAGTTGTAGTAAGAATAATAACAATAATAATAATAAGTAACAACTAAAGTTTGTGGATCTCACTTTCATGCCAAATGTTTGTGTAGCCCCCATCTGCACAATTCTGTATACAGTGCATCTGACTTGTAGCACAGTTTGTTTTAAAATGCAATTGCATGACCAGAACTAAACTTAATCTTTAACACTTTGGTCGCTTTCTTCAGCTCCCTGGACGGTCGCTAATTGCAAAACGGGCAATTTCGCACACAAATAGACACCAATTGAAGAGGAAGAATTGCTTTTTGCAACTCAATGGCTTTGCAAATTACCGGTTTCGATAAGCTCCAGATAGAGTCATTACAACCCTTTTTAACACCAGTAAAAATTAATTTTGCAATGAAAACGACTTAACTAATCTTTAAGCCTTTGGTAAATTTATCCCAAGTTAAATACAGTGCGACACAGGAGGACTGTTCGCGTAGCATGTAATAGTGATAATAATCTGAATTTATAAGCGCTTTATACGAAATGTCGTCTCTAAGCACTTTGCAGATAATATCACCCCGGTCATCGGATTAATTCACGCACAATGTGCACCATTTCTATTCCCTGGGGAGTATTCGTACTATATGGTCACCTTGAGGGCATATGGCAATTACTCAAACAAAGGCTTTCGTCAACCTACCGGGTCCCCATTTCTCTCCTGGGTATGGAGTGGCGAATGTAGATCAATGCCTGGCCAAAGGACAATAGTGCCGTGTCAGGGATCGAACCCACGACCTTTGTATTTCAAGTCAAATGCTTAAACCACCTCTAAAGAGTTAAATCGTTTTTATTTTGTTATACCTAGATTATGGAGATGTTTACATTAGCAGAGAAGCTGGATGGATTTGGAATCGGCGTGTTTTCACTGCACCCTGGTTTTGTCGATACAGATATCGTTAAGAGGGAGAACCAACAGGTATCTGGTTCCATGAAGTTTTTTGTGGGCATGCTAAGCTCAATGGGTGAGTATAATTCAGTGAGCGTAGGTATGGATAGTTGATAAACAGGTACTTGGACTAATTGTGTATTCGGATTTCAAAAGAGAGAAAGAGTGGTGCTAACCATTCTTTATGTACGATACCAATTATTATTAGGCCTTTTGAAAAATCTTACGGATCGTATGAGGCTTTTCCTGGGTGTTATCAATTCGAAATAACGTGTTCATCAGTGTTCCCTCTTCATCAGTGTCTAGCAGAAAATGCATAGACCGGAAGACAAAATATATTTCGACCGTAGATATGATATTCCTATATATATGACGACAATGATAATATTAACCTGGCCCCCGTAACACAAAGATTGGCAGTGGATGGAAAGACTGAGTTTTGCATTTGATTGCACAGAGTCACCAATGCAACCAATCGTACGATTAATTGCTAAGCTTCGTGTTATGGGGGCCCAGAAAACAATATATTTCTTGTATTGTTCTTTATCGATTACAATGTTACAGGAGCAATGCAGATACAGTTTTTTGCGTAATGACGTAAATCCCGCCATGACTGTGCCGACGCACTAATTAGCATTCATGTTATTTAACCACTCGACTACAACACCATGTCGTAGACTTGTGGATACGTCACCAGACTGTCATTCACATGGTTCTCGGTTCGAGTCCCGCCGCGGCACTAATGTCTTTTAGCAAGACATGTATCTACATTTTCTACCAAAGCACCTGGGTAATGATAGACTAGCGTTTAAAAATGTGAGCATTAGGTGCTTCATATTTTTTTTTATTGTTGTCATTTATTGATTACTATTTGTATCCCTCTTTTTTCTGCACGGTCAGGGCTGGCACGAAACTCATTTGACGGAGCCTTGACGACTATCCACGCGGCTGTGAACCCGCAGTACGATGGTAAGACTGCGCTCTATCTCGAAAATTCACAACCAACCAGTCTCCATAACCCATTAGCCACGTAAGTTTTATTTTGTAGCTTCCACCCTTTTAGTGTCCTTTATGTTAAATACAGAACAGTCCAAATAATGCTTTCATTTTTTTTCTTAACCAATAGTAGTATAGCGTCGTTTAGTGACGTTTTTTTGTTGTTTATATCCAGAATGCCCTACATTGCAAATTGTAGATTACCAGAAAGTGCAAATATCATTTTGAGTCCATTTCTGTAAATTTACAAATTGAATTAAATTACTAATTTTTTATTTTGGCTTTTTATTTTTTTATGTTAACAATATATATTTGTTGCTAAAATTATTCTTACACATATTAATAATTCATGGCGTTTGCATAATTAGTTAACGGCATCCAATTTTCTCTTTATGACTCTTCATACTTAGAGACAGAGACAAGCAAGAATTCCTGTGGAAGTATTCGCTCGATTGCTTGAAGGATTACATCACTGAAGATACGCTTAAAGAACTGACGTCACACTGATGCAACAATGGGCAAAAGGATTCACACAAATCGTTCGCATTTATCAACCGTGACACAGTATAAGTGATATTTGTTGTCAATTGTTCATTTAACTTACATCAATGTACTTGATAAATGTCAATCCATGTTCCACACATAAATGACGCATTTCTTTTCCATATAGTGATAAAGATAATTTTTTTCAATTAATTATTCTGATGCCGTTTATTTCCTAGAATTGACATACTGATCATAATCGAGCTTGTCTTAGGTTTAATCAAAATTAATTTACGTGTTTATCAGCGGTAGTTTTCGCGCAGAGAACTATCGATCTGAATGGTGTCGTTTTTGTTATATAATTAATATATCGTTTTCGGTGCTTTAAAGGTAAACTTGAGTTCTGTTAAATATAGAAAACAAATTCTTACACAATCCAACGAAACTTACACTGAATAATCACGATTATAAATAAATGACATGTGCCAATTTCGGTAGACAATGAAAAGTGGCTGAGTAATGAGCATAGAAAGATAAGGAAATCTGGATAAGTAGGCACGACACAATGTCATTATGTGCAAATGGGAGTTGTGGTTTTAGCGAAGATGATGCCCAGTACGTTTTCGTGCGCATGCTGTTATTTCACTGGCTCAAACAACCAATCTACTGCAGGATAAACGATCCAGAATAAATCATAGCAATTTTTCTCTCAAAATACGATTTAGTTCAGTTCAGTTCAGTTCAGTTCATTTTTATTCAAAACCACACAAAGCATGATAAAAAGAGACTGGTAAAAGTACATCAATCAACATATTCTAACTTGATTACATCATAAACTGAATGGTTTTAGGACCCCTATTTCGCAAAACTTGTCATCAGTGACAAATTTTTGTTGTTATTAGTTTGCTAGTTCAAGTTCAAGTTCAAGTTCATTTTATTTCCATTTCTCGTATAAAAATACATTTAACAATACATTATACATATAAGCAAATATATAAATATAAATAATACAAAGAATATGGAGGAGCCAGCAGAGGCCATTGGCCTTTCAAAGGCTGGGCTCCAGTGTCCTCAGCTAATAATACAAAGCACAGAGAAAAAAAAACAAAAAAAACAATGGGTAGTAAGTAAATAAACAAATGAGTACAGGCTAATTGAATTAAACATACGATAGGAATTCCTTCATTAAATAGTTCTTGTATTTACGTTTAAATGAGGCAACAGATGGGCACATTTTTATATGGGTAGGTATTGCATTCCAACTAATTACTCCGGAATATTTAACTGATCTACGTGAAGTATGGTATTTTAACAATGGAATATATAAATCATTAGCATGTCTTGTGTAATGAGGATGAACATCCTTTGTTATTTTGAACATATTATCGAAAATAGAAGGTAACATATTCTTATTGTACATATACATAAATGATCCAACTTGCAATTCATGTATTTGAAATATGGTAAGTACATTCAATTTCCTAAAAAGCGGTTCAGATGGGGTTCTGGGGTGAGAATTTGTAATTGCACGTAGTGCTCTTTTCTGTAAAACATAAACTTGATTCATTAAAGTTTTTGCACAATGTCCCCATATCAAAGTACAATAGGACAGATGAGGAAGAATGATTGCATTGTAGATATTAATCAATATATTTAGGGGAATCAAGTGTCGTATTCTATATAATACACCTATTGCACATGAAATCTTCCGCCGGGTATTATTAATATGTGGAGCCCAAGTAAGATTTTCATCAAGTGTCACTCCAAGAAATACAGTATTAGAAACTTGTAATATATTATAGTTATTAATTTTAATGTCACAGATTTGACCTGAAAGTTTTTTGTTTTTCTGCTTGAATATCATATAATTAGTTTTTTTTGAATTTATAAGTAATTTGTTAGCCAAAAACCACAACTCAATTTTTGGTATTTCTGAAGTAATTATGGTTGATATTTCATAGATATTTTTACCAGACACAAAGAGGTTTGTGTCATCTGCAAATATGATTGGGCAAAGGTTTGGGCTTACGTATTGAATGTCATTAATATATAATAGAAAAATTAATGGACCTAAAATTGACCCTTGCGGAATACCTCCAGCGAGTGTCAATAATGTTGAGTTAACACCATCTATATAAACAAATTGCTTTCTGTTAAATAAATAGCTATGTATCAATTCTAAAGAAGTTCCTCTAATACCATAAAATTTCAACTTACGTAACAAAATATCATGATTGATTGAGTCGAATGCCTTTGATAGGTCCAAAAATATTCCCAGTCCAATATTCTTATTTTCAAAAGCTGTATTAAGTTGATCGATAAATTCAAGTAGGGCCATAGATGTAGAATGTCCAGAGCGAAAACCAAATTGTCTGTTGTATAAAATATTGTGTTTACATATATAAGACATAAGTTTTGCATATATCAATTTTTCAAAAAGTTTATCAAAGACCGAAAGCAGGGACACAGGTCGATAGTTTGTACATAAAGATTTATCTCCCTTTTTAAATATTGGCAAAACTTTAGCAACTTTTAAAGCATCTGGAAAGCATCCTGTTTCTATAGAGGTATTGAAAATATGAGTTAACACTGGAGCAACAATGTGTATACATTGTTTTAAAACTTTGGTGTCTATATCATCGTAACCTGGGCTTTTGCCTTCTTTTAAACTTAACACTGTATTGATTACCTCAGATTCCTTTGTACATGTGAAAAATAAGGATTGTGGATAATCACCACACAAATATTTAATAGGGTCTGTTAAAGTATTAGGCATATTGTTTGCAACATTCTCACCAACAGAAACAAAATATTCATTAAAAACTCGCAACACTTCTGATGGTTCCTCAATATTTTGTCCTTCTTTTAAAAGACTTGGACATTCAATTTTCTTTTGTTGTTTTAAAATATTGTTTATAACACGCCATGTTCCTTTCAAATCATTTCTTTTACCATAAAATTTCTTTTGATAATAGTCACGTTTTGCACTTCTAATCGCATTATTTACAATATTCCTTTGTTTCTTGTAAACATCTTCTCTGTAATGGGTGGGATTTTTTATAAATTTGTGATACAAAGCATTTTTCTTACGACAAAGCTTTTTTAAAGAATGATCATACCATGGGTTACGTTTTTCTTTTCGATTATCTTTGGGTTGTTGTTTTGGAAAGCAATGATCATAAATAGAGCCAAAAACCTCAAAAAATGAATTGTATAACTGGTTAACATCAGTAGTTGAATTTTTCAAAATGAATTCCCAGTTCACCTTACTCAATTCAGTACAGAATAATATTATATTTTCTTCGTTAATATGCCTCACACTTCGAGCAGACCTTACATTTTGGTTTGAATTTATAATAAGATTAGAAATACAAAATATAGGCATGTGGTCACTTACAGGGTATGTAATGATTCCAGACAAATAATCACCACATGTGCTGTAAACAAAAATATTATCCGACAAAGTTAAGGTTTCTATAGTGATTCGAGTTGGCTTAGATATTACAGGAGAAAAAGAATAGGAATTCATAAATTGTACAAAATCATTAGGCTCCATCTCTTCTCCAACAAAATGATTTATATTGAAATCCTTGGTTCTAAATGGTTATTAGCAGATTTGTCACAGATTTTTGTCATTTGTCATTGGAAAAGTGCTTTGTGAAACAGGTCCCAGAAGTGGGTTTTTTTATTTCGATTTCCCGTTCCCTCTGGCGGTAGTTTGCTATGCAACTACCGTCGAAGCACCTGAATTTGAGAAAAACCGACGATTTTTGGTTGCAGTGTTAATTCAGCTAATGGCGCCTGAACGGTCACGCATGGGTGATTTTGGAAAACAACGAATTAGGTGGCCTTGAAGGGATGCTGGAGATTATCCCTACAAAGTTTGAAAGGAGTCGGGATTAAAGAACTAGATAGCGCTCACAAGCACTACGTGCAAAACGAACGGGATTTTGGAGAAGGAGAATGTTAATAAGAATTCAGAACGAGCAAGAAAACAAATGACGTCATTTCCATGATAATTGAACTCCTAAGGAGACCGAAATGTATAAAAAAAAGAAAGAGGGAGGTAGAAAGAAAAAGTGAAAAGGAGGGAAGGGGAGAGAGAGAGGAAGAGAGAGGGAGAGAGAGAGGAGAGAGAGAGAGAGAGAGAGAGGGAAAGAGAGAGAGAGCGTGGAAGAGAGAGAGAGAGAGAGAGGGGTGGAGGTGGAGAAGCGAAGGGAAGGTGGGAACTCGAAAAGTTGCTGAGTATGCAGGTTAAAAATTCAGTCAAATCCTCATCCACTTTAAGAACTGATGTTAGTCCATTTAACAAAACAATACATCGCCTTCATGGAAATGTTACTTTAAATACATGTATCAGAAATGTTTCGATTTTGTTTTGAATGTCAAGTCATGTGATAAATCGAATGCCTGATATATATTATCGTAACAAAGGAAACTAGACTGACAGTAAATAAAGATATATCATAATGCGTTTGTTCGTTTTTCAAGAGACAAATGAAATGATCACATCAACATTTATTGGTATCAAAGCATCATCACAAAACAAATTCAAAATCATAATTATTATATGCAAACTCGTGTGTTATCAAGAAAGAAGAGATAAATTAGAAAAGTTTCTAATTGCATAATTACAATTACACCAACAAGATTAACATTTTGTCCAATAATCTAAAACGGCTATGTTTGCGTAAACAAAATATAGACCCTATAACTCGTCAAGATTTCCCGGCATAACAGTCAACCTGTTTCCCTTCTTTCTGTTTTTCATGGAGAGGGTCTAAATTTGTAGCCGTCCAATGCTCTAATACCAAATGATATATTTTGGAACAAATATTCTAATCGATTTTTGTAGTCCTATAAGAAGAATATTACCTTTACTGTATTCTAGTGATTATATCTCTTGTTTCTATTTAATAACTATAATAAGAATGAAGAAACACCCACATATTGTAAACAAAAAAAATGCTTAGAGCTATTATATACATGACTGGAAATATGCTCTAAATGTTTTGGGAATGTGT